TTTTTTTTTTTTTTTTTTTTTTTTTGAGATGAAAGAAAAAAGACGCAATATTCGATTAAAGTTCAAAGTTTTGAGTCTGGAATTTTGAAAATCTTGATAAATTTTATTTTTCGAAGGCCGATTTGACAAATCCGGCGAATAAGAGCTGGCCACGGCTGAAGGCGGCGGTGCGATACTCCGACGTTCATGAAGGAAGAAGAAATTCCAAGGACAAGAGTCAGGGCAGCTAATGAAGTAGGTTTTCTTCTCATTCAATCATATTCTCAGTCTTCCATTCTAGTCATCCTAGTTTTCTGCTTCTTACTTGATCCTTACTCCACGCTTTTCTTCTTATTATTCTTTTAAATGTTATTCCAGAACCGCCATAATCTGTTTGCTAGATGAAATTAGGAATCTAGGGCTCTTTCAATCTCTTCTTGTTTCCGAAATTAGTGTATAATTTGTGTGTATTTGAGAAGAAGAGAAAGAGTGATGGATGATTATCAGGAGATGGAGAGGTTTGGTATGGAGAATGATTACGATGATGGGCAATGGATTGGCGGCGAGTTTTATTATCGAAAGCGCAAAGAGAAGAGGTCCCAAACGAAAAACGATGTTCTCTATGGTGTCTTTGCGACTGGTTCAGATTCGGACTCTGATGGATTTTCGTCTCGGAAGCGCCGCAAGGACCGCAACTTGTCTAGGAAACCTGACCTCGCCAAGCCTGTCAATTTTGTATCCACTGGCACCGTCATGCCCGATCAGGAGATCGATAAGATTTCCAAGGATGGTGATACTGACAATGCGGATGATGACCGGCCTGGCCTTGGCTTGGGTTCCAGTACTTCTGGTTCTGGTTTGGGGTTTACTTTGGCGAGTTCCGACAGAAATCGTAATGGGGTTAAGGAGAATGGTTCTACTGGTGATGGAGATGAAAATGGTGATGACTTATTTTTGCCCACTGCGTTTGGGAGGAGGATTAAGGAGGGAGCTGAAAGGAGGGAGAGGGAAAGAGTGAAGTCTCAGGTAGAGAAGAAAAGTCGAGCGGTAGCCGGGACGAGAAAAGATTCTAACCTTGGGAATGTTGGAGTGTTTGAGAAGCATACCAAGGGCATCGGCTTGAAGCTACTTGAAAAGATGGGATACAAGGGAGGTGGGCTTGGCAGAAACGAACAAGGGATTGTAGCTCCCATTGAAGCTAAAATGAGGCCTAAGAATATGGGAATGGGTTTTAATGACTTCAAAGAGGCGCCTAAGATACCTGTTTTACAGGAAATAGAGGAGAAAATATTGCCCCAACCAACAACCAAGGCAAAGGAGAGGCTATGGTCGAAGCAAGTAAGGTCTAAGAAGAAGAAGAAAGAAGCATATTTAACAGCTGAGGAATTACTGGCTAGCAAGCAGGACCAGGCATTGGAGGATGTTCAGAAGGTGTTCGATATGCGTGGGCCTCAGGTGCGGGTATTGACAAATTTAGAAAACTTGAATGCTGAGGAGAAAGCTAGAGAAAATGACATCCCTATGCCAGAGCTTCAGCATAATGTGAGGTTGATTGTAGACTTGGCTGAGTTGGATATTCAAAAAATTGATAGGGATCTGAGAAATGAGATGGAAACCGCGCTCGTCTTACAGGAAGAGAAGGAAAAGTTAGAGATCGAGCTGGCTCGTCAGAAGAAGCAGTTGGATAATATGGAAGAAATTATGAACATGATAGAGCGAATTGGAGAAGATAATTCTGCTGGAACATTGACGTTAGATGGACTTGCCAAGTGCTTCAGTGGCTTGCAGAGAAAATTTGGTGATAACTACAAGTTATGTAACTTGTCTTGCATTGCATGTTCACTTGCACTACCTTTGTTCATTAGAGTATTTCAGGGCTGGGATCCCCTACAAAATCCTTCTCATGGGTCAGAAGTGATATCATTGTGGAAGACTCTGCTTCAAGATGAAGATTGTATCGACATCTGGGATGTGACATCGCCTTATACTCTCCTGGTTTCAGAACTTGTCCTACCTGCAGTAAGGATTTCTGGCGTAAATACTTGGCAGGCTAGGGATCCTGAACCAATGCTTCGATTCTTGGAGTATTGGGAAAAATTGCTGCCTCCTTCAGTCCTTCATACCATATTGGACAATGTTGTCATGCCTAAACTGGAAAGTGCAGTTGATTTGTGGGAACCTCAGCACGATTCCGTTCCTATCCACATGTGGGTACATCCATGGCTGCCATTGTTAGGGGGTAAGCTGGAGGGTATGTATCTATCCACATGTGGGTACATCCATGGCTGCCATTGTTAGGGGGTAAGCTGGAGGGTATGTATCAGGTCATACGTACGAAGTTGAGTTTTGTTCTTGGTGCTTGGCACCCAAGTGATGCTTCTGCCTATACTATATTGTCCCCGTGGAAACCTGTATTTGATTCTGCTAGTTGGGAGCAGCTTGTGCTTCGATTTATAGTACCTAAACTACAGCTTGTCTTGCAAGAATTCCAAGTAAATCCCGGAAATCAGAAACTTGATCAGTTTTACTGGGTTACTAGTTGGGCTTCTGCCATACCTATCCACATCATGGTTGATATGATGGAGAAATTCTTCTTCTCCAAGTGGCTACAGGTATTGTATCACTGGTTATGTTCAAATCCAAATTTCGAGGAGGTTACAAAGTGGTACATGGGTTGGAAAGAACTCTTTCCAAAGGAGCTTCTGGCTAATGAAAGTATCCGGTACCAGCTTAGTTGTGGCCTGGATATGATGAATCAAGCTGTTGAAGGGATGGAGGTGGTTCAGCCAGGTTCGAAAGAAAATAATTCTTACCACTGGATTCCTGAGCAACGGCAGTTTGAAGCTCAGCAGAAAGTTGCTTCGCAAGCTAAACAACAAGGTGCAGATGGCTTGGGTAATGCTTCTCATTTGGATGGTATGGGTGGTACACTTGAGATGACTCTGAAAGAAGTGCTTGAGGCCCATGCCCAACAGCATGGTTTGCTCTTTAAGCCTAAACCTGGAAGGATGCACAATGGGCACCAGATATATGGCTTTGGAAATATAAGCATAATAATGGACACTTTAAATCAAAAAGTGTATGCCCAAACTGAAGAATCATGGTCCCTAGTATCCCTTGAACGATTGCTCGACATGCACAATAGTTCTACATCCAGGAGATGGTAGATGCAAGCTTGGCTTACCTTTTGAAGAATTCCCCACGTTGTGAAGCAGCTTTAGTCAATGTTTAGGTTATGTAAACCGCTTGTACAATAGGAGAAACTATAAGGTTAGTATGCCTTTAATCTCTCAGCCATTAGTGAGCTAGTCTTTTTTATCATTAGGTATGATCTGAAAAATCTTTTTCCGTCAATATATACTGATTTTTTTCCCATGTGAATTACTATCTTATCATCAATTAATCCAAATTTCTAGCTTCTCTTGTAAACTTCTATGATGTGTTCTTCTGTCATAGTCTGCTTCTTGAATAGGGATGAATAAATTACTGAAAGGCTATTCTTGATGATTTTTTGATTTCTTATTAGTTTCTTGTTTATGTCTTAATAATTAGACTTGATAAGAATTACATACTTTTTAATAAAATATAGAACACAACGTCTTTGTGATTTTTGTTTTGTTTATATGATCTTGGTGCTATATCATGAAAGATAAACTATCAAACAAGGAGGTTTCTAATGATCTGGAAATGGAAACTGTTTTCCTCTCAAAATTTACTGATTATCATCTTTGTGCTATTACTGATTATAAGTACACTCTTCCTCGAGGATAGCTGCATACCCTGCGGTTTTCTCTTGGAAGGATGTCATCTAACTGTCAGAACTAAAAAAAAAACTAAGAAAGGTTCATATAATATCAAACATTCTGGGATGGGTACTGGCCTGCCAAAGAGACCATGGAGTAAATGTTTCTTACAATTTGTTTCAGTTGCATCTTTGGGCTTTTAGTTAGGTCGTAATTGATGGCAATGAATGGGAGAGTTTCTCTCAAGCACATTAATTTTTTTTTTTTTTTTTTTTTTTTTTTTGGGGAATTACTATAGAATCTTGATATCCATAACCAACACTCGATTCATCTTAAAACTTGTGAACCTAATGCTTTGTTCTTTGGCTGGAGAGGTATAGGAATGAAAGAAGTTACTCTCTGGAACTAGCTAGGCATGGAAACATTTATTATTAGGTGATTTCATTCTGCAATTGGGGTGCGTGCAGATGGCTCATTCTCCACCCCAAGACAGGTTCAATGTCTAGGAATTTTTAGGTTATATCATAAGATTAGGTTCTTAATCTTACTACTTTAGTGGATGATTTAGCATCCTCGAGTGCTTTCCGAAACCAGTGTTCTTTAAGCCTGCTGTGTACGATTAGCCAAGAAAGAAGAGGGCGGGGTATGTGATCGGTGTAGAAAGAAATTCTCATTCAGAAAATGCCTTCTAGGTGGGTTGGTTCCTCTGTCATCGCTAGGGAGTTTTCGGTGAGGAGACCTTAGGATAAGTTGCTAGATTTGTGTCTATTTAGTTATAGATCCTTGAATTTTTAATTTGGTGTCAAATAGGTTCTTAAGGAAGTGGATAATTAGGGATAAACTTGTTATTTAATTTGTTGAAAGTTTTTCTATTTGTTGAGTGGATTCTGCAGGATCACAAAACCATCGATACAAATCGACTTGAGATCGTATTTCATAAAAAATTGAGTCACATTTTGTATGTGGGGCAACTATGTGTTCAACACCAATCAATAATAATTTCCTCAGACAACATATGCAAATCTCATTCTAGAAACTTTCCCTATTATCTGTCACGCTATTTGTGATCAAAATCATAATGGCGAATAACACAGTTTCGTTTTCTTTATATATACAGTAGGCAATGGATGATCTCTACGACGTATGACTTGTAATTATATTTTAACAAATTAATGTTTAAGCAACATGGCTTCCATCTTCCTCATCTTGGCTGCCTTCTTTAGTTTCTCCAACGCCACTAGTCCAACTTGCCTTACCCTTTCTCTGGACAAACCTATGCTGAAAAAATCAGAGCAAATAGAGCTTTTGTGAGCTATAACTTAGAATGACATTGACAATTTTCTCATGTAAGTTCCTTCCACTTACCGTTTGCTTATTTCCTCCCATGTCAGACATTCATTGTCCAAACCGTGATAAAGACGAATGATCTCTCTTTCTCGGTCCTCAAGCGTCATGTTTATGAGTTTGTTAACCTCAATCTGTCAATATTTTTAGCGTATTTGAGTCGACCATTCAATTAGATAAGCTAACAAACTGTTCATTCTTTATTTACTAATGAAAATGATATATTTTTTCATTCTCAGACTTGGTGACCAATCATTTTACCTTCAGACTCCATGTGTCGGTTCCATGCCACGGGTTGTTCTCGAGGCGATTATCTGCAATATACTGCGAAGACAAAACGTTAACAAAATAACTCAAGGAGTGAAAATCATGTGAAGTTTGCAAAAACTGAGTTGTTATTCAAGGCTTACACTATGATGAGTTTCGCCAGGAAGACCATTCAATGAAGGGAATGCTTCTCGGTCGAGTGAGAACACCTTGCTAATTGCCTGAAAGCAATGAGAGGTTAGCTTGATAAGGAAAATGAAAAACAGATATTGGGAAATAGCAGAGTTAGAAATTTGTAATACCTCAGTGGCATTCTTGACTTTCTTTTTGGACATGTTGAGAGATTCTGCAATCCTCTGAGGTAAATAAACAAGCGTTAGCAATCACAAACTTCAACGTAATTTGATATCAACTTGTTTGTTTAATGGTATTCAAGTTTTTTGAGGTATACAATATTGTTCTGTAGTGTTATGCCAGTTATCCACTTACATCAATTGATGGGGTGATTCCTTTCTCTTGCAGTTTAACTTTGGCATTGCGAATCAATCCTAATCTTTCGTGCAAATGAGTTGGCAACCTCAGCGTTCTCGAATTTTCAACTAATGCTCTTGAAACACCCTAGGCATGGATGAAGACATTGAAATTCTGTCAGCGCTTGCTGTAACGCTATATACGCTCGACATGTTCAGGTACTTGCATTAAATACTTTGAACTCAAATATCCAGTTTTCTTTTCAATAGGCTTATGCTTTGGCTAGTAACAGGGTATCAATTTGTTTTCGAAGTGTTTATATTCTCACCTGGCGTATCCACCAATAAACATAGGTTGAGATTTTGAATCCCTTTGAGGAATCAAACTTTTCGATTCCTCGGAGAAGTCCGATCAAGCCACCCTACATTAAACATAAACAAACTCTTCATATTAGGGGAAGCTAATAGGGTTAGAGTTAGCTCTATGGGACTGTCATAAGCTCCTCACCTGAACTAAGTCGGCCATTTCAGCCCCCATGTTATCATATCTTTGTGCAATTGACATTACTAAACGAACATTGCTCATCGCTAGCTTCTCTCTTGCCAATGAACATTCCATTACTCTCGACCGTAATTCGGCACAAGAAATCTCAAGTGAAATTGCCAGTTGTTCTTCAGAGGGCTCACATCTTAGTCTTTCCTTCAGTCTGGGAGTCATTACAGATGTTAGGGAGAGCAAAGTACACTATGAACATAATATCATTATTGTAACAATACTAGCCCACCGCTAGCAGATATTATCCTCTTTAGGATTTCCCTTTCGGGCTTCCCTCAAGGTTTTTAAAATGCGTTTGCTAGGAAAAGGTTTCCACACCCTTATAAATGGTGTTTCGTTCTCCTCCCTAACCGATGTGGAATCTAACAATTCCGATGTGGGATCTGAGAGTTACTGAGCTAGTCGTTTTGGCAATAGTGTAATGGAATTCCATATACTTAATAGTTTCCTTTCTCGCATCTGTCAAGTTATTATGATTAAAAGGAAAGACTAACATGGAAAGAAAGGGGCAAGCAGTAATCTATGTGAATCTGAACAAGAAGAGCATGAGGTAACCTGGTTTTATGCTCCTCCAATGCAAGACCGACTTTTATCTTCTTCGAAAGGCGTACAACTTCCGAATGGGGAAGTATTTCTTCACTTACTAAACCTTTCACATAGCCCCTCAATCGATTTTGGAGTAGCTCAGGACTGATACTAGGTTTTTGCTGTTTACTGATTTTTGGTTGAGCCATAAAAACATGTTTGCTCTGTATCTTCCTCTTAGAATTCATCCTCCTTTGCCGTGCAGACACACCGGAACAAGTGACAGGTACTTTCTTCTCTGTTTTTCCTCTAGGCACATCGGTCGACACAGTTTGCTCGAAAGATAGATTCCATTGCTTCTCTAGCATGGACTTTTGCAGCAAAAGAAGAGCCTCCACAGTACATTTAAGATCAGTTTCTTCATCTTCCCAAATGGTGGTGTTATTAAGCCATGGCTCTGCAGTTGGAGAAGAGGGAGTATCTACATGTTCCTTCACAGCTTTGATGCACTGCACGTGCCGATTCGACGGTGGATAGCTCGGAGAAAAGTCAGCCGAATGTTTCGCTATTACCACACTCTTCGTAGTGGAAACTTGGTTCTGTCCCAACCTATGATCATTGAGATATAAAACCTTTTCTGTGAAATCAGAATAATAGGATGAAGAATTCAACAGCCGCTTCGCTGCACCAAGCCCAATTATTGCAGCTGTTGCCATCATATGGCTTCTCTTCTTCCTCTTGTGCACAAAACTCTTATCATCACACGCCCAACACAACCAATTACACCAAATCAAACTTCAATTCTATTTGAATGGATCAATGACTTCCAATACCTCAAAATTCCTCCCCCTGAATCAAAAACAGCCCCAAATCCATCAAACAAAGTAGAAAGGATATGAAATTCCCACCTGAAATCCACTCAACAAGAACAGAACAAAATCACTCGATATAAACGAGCTTCGGATTGAATTCCTAGATGATTTTCGAACCCAAAGCTCAGTTACTAGGCCTGAAGGATTGAAAGAAACATAGAAACAGAGAAAATGGCAGAACCCAGAAACAGAAAACGGGAAAAGTTGCAGAAACCAACGACAAATCAGTGAATGAGCTCGAGAAAAGTACCTGAAATGGAGAAAATGGAGGAAGACAATTCAGTCTTCGCCCAGCAACTCTATAGAAGAAAGAGGAAGAGGGTCGATGAATCCAAAGCAAAATGGCAGAGAATGGCCTGTGCTGTTGTTGGGTTGATGAATATCGAAGATTTTTTTTTTTTTTTTTTGGGAATTTCTGCAAACTTCTGGTGGGTCTAATTCCAAATTTAATGGAAAGAAATAAGAGAGAAAAAAAAAAAAAAGGGAATGGAAGAAATGTTGGAAAAATGGAAAGATAATGGGAAAAAAATTGAGAGGAAAATGTTTGAGCTTTGGAGATATGGGAAGCTGAGATGCTATTGGTTGGATTAGATATTGGGTCCAGCTGAGATGCAAACTTTTGGGAATCTATATATATATATATATCTATTTATTATTATTTTGTAGAAAACAATATGATTTGGTGAAGTTTGTTCAACCACACAGCTTGCTAGACCATGAGCCACATGTAGACATCTCCCTTTTTCCTTTTATATTGAAATTATGTATTGTTTCTTTTTTAAGTTTAAATTTCTTATAATTAAAAAAAAAATTAATATCGTCCTTAATCTCTTGTAATTTTAAGTTTTACGTTCGATGTTTTAAAGTAAATTGTTACGGTACTTTAAAATTTGTAACAATTTAATTTATATCGCAAAAAGTTACATAAAAACTAAATGTTAATTTTTATTATTTAATGATTTAAACTTTCTAGCTTTTAAATGTTAGTTTTTATTATTAAATGATTTAACCTTTTAAAATTGATCAAGCTAAAGATAGCTAAGAAATTTGAATAATAATTTAAAATTTTGAATTATGATGACGAAATTGTTACCTATTAAAATTGAGACTTAAATTGTTACAAAAAAAAAAAAAACAAAGTTGATATAAAATTATATTAAAAATAATTTAAAATTTTACAAGATAAAGTTAGATGCTTCATCTTAGTAATATAATTGGATTGATTCGTTAAATAAATAAAAAGAAGATCCCATTCGATTCATTTATGTAGAAACATGCAAGTAAAAGATATAAGGTATATGATATATCATAAGGTCGTTACATGATATATAATGATTTTGAGTAGACTATAAACTCTTATATTTGAGACGGTGTGTTTTGATTTTATAATAGTGAAAACGATGGAAATGAATACTTCATTTATTAAATATTCTATACACGAATGAATAAAGAAACTCGAACATAATATCACGAAATAGGTTTTCAAATTTTCTATAAAGTTTACTTTTGGACTACAATAAGGAACGGATAAATAAGCCCAAATTAATGTCTTTCCTAAACCACTAATAAGTTTAGATTTTTTATTGGTAGTTCATCGCTTTTAAGTTTAGTTAAATTAGGAGTTCAATAGACCAGATATGATACGCCTACGAGATATGTCTTCGAGTAGAGACGAGGAAGGTTTCTTCGTCTCATCCTAACCACCTATTTCAATTTTCATCCCACAAAAATTCTTCATTTATTTCTAAGGAGATCAGAGTGATTTTTTTTTTTGAAATTTCCGTATTATTCGTTGTTTTGATTATTTTATTTTTAAATTTATTTCCAACCATTTTTTTTTATAAAAATACATAAGGGATCTTTCTCAAAATAACTATTCAAAACAAAACATTATAAAGTATGAGAATAAAAATTATAATATTTCACCAGCAAAATTATGATTATAACATTCAACACCATAATTTCAGTAAGGATTTAGGGCAAAGACAGAGAATTGAACGGAGCATGTGATCTTTGTCCCCATCCCCATTCAATGAACCGAGAGAAACTTCCAATTTCCTCCTTCATTCTTCGTATGAATGTCCTACCATATTTCATATTTCCTTGTAGTGACTTAATTGTGGTCAGAAAGTTACGGACTCAATTGTGGTCTAAAAGTTGTTCACTGGATTCTAACGGCGCTGATCTATATATCTCAATTTTTTGGGAGGAGGAGGGGGAAGAAGGTGCATACGAATGAATTAGAGCAACATCTGAATGAGAGCGATCCTGAAGATAGGATGACTAAGAAATGTTTAAAAGAATTAAAAGTTACTATCTATAACAACAACGTGCACCTTCCTTTTCGATAGCTCAACCATAAGAACTCTACAGTTAAGTGTGTTTTGCTTGGAACAATTCTATAGGTGACGTGTTGGAAATTGTTGGTCTAAGAGGACATTCTCAACTAAAAATGCTTATTTAATGCCCTACTCATGCATAAAATATGAAAGCATACCGGATCGTCTTAGCGATCACTAAAAGTACTACTCAAAAGATGTCCAATTGATTACTTACATGGATGACATGTGCTTTTCTAAGCTCGTTTTTCACTTGCTAACCGCTCCTAAACTTAAAAAATTTCTCTAGTGAGACCTAATTCAAGTTTGATTAAGGTTAGTATGAAAACTAGAGCGAAAAATAGTTGAACAGGGGTGGAACTGGAAAAAAAGAAACTCACGTGCCTACACACAACTAGTAGGCTCTTTACTCACAATTTCACACCCGCATCAAGTGGCTCGTGCATTACTTCTTGAATCCTCGCATACCCAGTGCCAACATATTTTCTTTTTCGAGCGACCAACGAGCAATCGACACATATCTTCCTCTTAACCGAAGTGCCAGAATCACCAAAATTCCATAAATTTTAGTTTTTTCAGTACATGATTCGATTCAACTTGGTTCATTCATCAATTTTATACATCTCTCTTTCCCATCAATTTTATACCTTTCTCTCTCTCCTTTCTTTCCTTTTTATTATCTTTTCTATTCCTTCCCCAATTAATTCTGTATCAGTGAAATTACAACCTCGAAGTAGTTGAAATGACCAAATTACCCTTTCAAGGTTGACTTTGACTATTCTTTCTATTTTTGTATAATATTTTTCTTTTTGGTCGTATCCCAAAACTTAATCTAAGACCTTCAATCAAATTCCACAAATTTAAAGTTAAAAAAAAAAAAAAAAAAAGACAAAAAAATATTGTATCGATCAAGCTCGAGTTAAATTAGTTATATTTTTTTAATTGGTAATGAGATGTTTCCTTTTAATTTCGGTTGGTCTGCCAAATTTCTGAATCCACACTTATGCAAACTTCATAATGAGTGATTTAATCAACAACTTGGTGAGAATTGGAGTAAATTGTGAAGAAATGGGTACGAAACTTCTAATATTGTTATCATGCGAATACTGAAGAGTTAGTAAGACATTGACTTTGGGTACTAATAATAGCCTAGACATTGACTTTAGGCAGGAAAAGTCTTTTATGCTCGGTCTCTTTTCTATTTCAATCTCTATCTCTGTGAAATTTTGCATTTATTTCGACGAGGATCGAAGAAGAATTACTGGTAAATTCTCACCAGAATAGGTTGAAATTTTTTTCCTATCTTTTATATATTATTTTTTTAAAAATAATTTATAGATCATAATAAATTCAATAATATTTCGGAAGTAACTTTTAAAAATTTAAATTTTGATATAAGATATTCATTTATTCATTTGTTAAGCAGTGTAAATGTCTAATAAACTAGTTTTGATCTTCGGTTTATACTTAAAGTGAGTGAGGTTGAACTCAGAGGGGATTTTGGTAGAGTAGAGGATGGAGATGGGGAAGAGGGATATAATCTTTGTCCCCTCCCTGTTTACCTAATTTGGAGAAATTTCTATCCGCTCCATTCCCATTTCATGTTTAAACGAGGATTTTCCACTCCATTCAAGATGGGTTCCCTAGAAATCTCGATCTCGAGAGTTAAATAGACATTTCTAATTTTAATCATTAACAGAAATTTTATTAACCATGTTTCTGATTTCTCTCCACCTACGGTTCATATTCGAGCTCAAATTGAGCTAGTTAATGTCTTCCAAAGAGTATCGGAATTCGAAATTTGTTAAATAAGCATAATAGCCCGTCTTAGCCATTGATTCTGAAGGAGTGAGTTTGATGTTAAGAAAAACTAAAGGGGTGTAGTTGGTATGTTACTGGGTCAGTAGAGGAACATGTAGATACATGAGGTAGGTCTAGAACGTCTTGCGACCGTTCGATTCCCAAGGTTGCCTTTCAATCTAAACAAGATTTTCCTAGCAAGAAACTTCTATTTCGTTTTGAATAGCCCGAATTAGATAAAAAAGCTAAGTAGCTAATGTCTACTTCGATATACTCGTTCTTCCCGAATATATTTACTAATAATGTTTAAACTAAAAAAAAAAATAGCTACCAAATGAGGAATTGTCCACTAAGCTCAAAATTAACCCAAAAATTCATAAATCACAAACCTTAAATTACAAACCTTATTTTGTTCTTATTTTTATTTAGCTAACATTTGATTTTTTCTGGTTTCTTGCTCTCACAAGTTTCCCTAATCACAGAGCAGATGGAATGAAGAAGCCATCAATGGGCTGTTTCCCCTTCAACAAGCCATCAAGTTCTTCCACGAATCTTTCCATGGCCGGAGCAGGCAAGCACAAAGGCACCAAAACCCCCTTCTCTCCCATCTTGTTCTTGAACGGTATATAAAAGCTAGCCACGCCCGGGATCGCTCCGACACCGCCCTTCGCCGGTCCACCATACGCAGCCTTACCCCACCCAAAGTCCACATCTCCGAAGCCAGCCCTCGTCACATCCGACACAAGGTATGATCTCACAACGGTGAAATGAGGCCGCCCTTTGGTCACCATAAGATCTGCCACCGACTTCATGTACTCCTCCGTCACGTCGGCTTTCGCCTTTCGAACCAATTCCAAGGCATATCCAACCGGGTTTTGGCAAAGCTTACCCGCTGTGGTGAGTGCCACTGGGAAAGCAAATGCATTGCCGTAATACCCTAATGGTAATGGAGGGTTGAACTTGGAGCGGGAGTTGACTATGCATAGTACTCGCACTTCCTCTTGTGGCTCTGGCTGAAGGGATATGGTGCGGAAGCGCCAGAGACAAGCTGTGAGGATCTCAAATGAGGAGCACTGCTGGAGGTGACTCGGTAACGTCTTGCGAATGGTGGCGATCTCCGTTGGGCCGAAGAAGAACGAGCGATGAGCCATGTCGTCGAGCGGTATGATGGTGCCTTTCGTGTCGGCCACTTCATCGTACTCACGATGACAACATGTCACCTCTGGTGGGTCTCGTGCATTTAAAAGAGCTCTTTTCCACACTGGACGAATCGAAGGACTGTTCGCACCACGCGCCATCTCGCCAACCGCCATCATGAATTGGACGAGACCAGATGCATCGCTCATAGTATGATTCAAACGAAGAGCAAAGATAAAACCGCCACACTTGAGTCGGGTCACCTGGATGAGTAATAATGGACAATTGAGAACTCCATTAGAATTCGAAACATCGTAAAGAAGCTCTTCCAAACACGGGAACGGTGGTTGAAGTGCATCACCGAACTGTTCTAAAGTAACATCAGCATCTGCTTCAATAAACAAAACACCTTCTCCCGTACATTCCACAAACAACTTCCGCCCAGGCCCTTCTCTCAACCTACCCGCAAAAGGGTAGTAAAAGACCAACGTCTTCGCAATTGCCTCCCTTATCACGTTCGCCGGGTCCCGCCCCTCCATGCGCGGATCACGGCGATAAAACTGTATCACTGGAATCTGAAATCGAAGACCCTCCTGGTCATCGATATCAGAAAGTTGCTTAAACTCATGAGGGGTAGGCTTAGCCGGAGCTACCAGTTGTGGCTGGCACCTCCGTACCTGGAATGAAAGAGCGGGCGTTGCCATACAGAAAGGAGAGGAGGGAAGCAGCTTTATCGAGTTGACGAGAGAATAGAGAGATATGAGCGGAATTGGGTGCGAGTGAAGGTAAGAGAGGGAAGGTGAGGAATTTATAGGGAGAGATGGGTGAAAGTTTCCATGGGAAAAGAAATTGAAAGTCCATGAAAGAATGCAGTGGTAGTTTCTTGTTCATTTCAGGGAAGAACCAACGGTTTAATTCTTAGGTATAACGAGAAATTTCATACGTGTTTCTTTTGTAATTTACGCAAACTTTCTTCACAACTACACTATTCAATCAATGATTTTAAATGAATTAAATTAACAAAAACAAAAATACTGAAAATAATAGTTTTAAATAAAAATACTAATTATTTTCGACTATTAGTACTTTTAAACGCGGATAACAGTTTCCCACCAAAACATATGTATTTAAAAATAAATATGTACACATAGTAAGGTTATTTTTTTCTTTTTTTTTTTTAACTTAAAAGTATTTTTTTTAATAAAATATTAATATTTTTCATCTAAAATTAAAAATTTTAAAATATATTTTAGACAAAATAGAAAGTTTTAAGAGTTTTTTTTATTTATTATTAATATGGCTTTAAAAAATTTAAATTATTTTCCTTGTAATCTTAATTTAGAATCTTTTCGTTATAATTTTGATATTAGTTCAATAAAAAAATTATGACTATGGTGTATAATTTATTTCAATTTAAATTTAGACCTTACAAATTTAAAAGATTTTGAATTTGATTTAAAGAAATTTAATATTCTCAATAAGAAACTATAATATTTATATATTAATAATATATTTTAGGTGGTAAAAATTGGCAAATTTTAAATAATGTGTTAGGTCAATTGGTCGACCCAAAACGTCCAAATAGTAAGGCCCAAATACAATCAGGCTCAAGCCCACATGTAAAGTAGCCATCCAATTAGGGGAAGAAAATCACCATTCAAATGGTGGATCAACTAACATCAGCGTCAGCTTCAATAAATAACACACCTTCGCCTGTCCCGACCCTTCCCACAATCTTACTACAGAGCGGCTGCATTCCTTATCACATCCACTGATCTCTTCCTTTCGTGCTTGGATTATGTGGATAGAAAAATATTGATGGAATTTGAAATCTAAAACCTTCTTGATCATCGATATCTGAAAGTTGTTTAAACTCATAGGATGTAGGTTTTGCTGGAGCAATCAATTCTGGTTGGCATATTCGCACCTCGAACACAAAAAGTTCTTAAACATAGTCATTAGAAAGAAACAAGTGAGTAAGAACCGTTGTTTGACAATATTAACGTTGAGGTACTTGGAGTGTTAGGAGGGAAGTTGGTATTAAAATTATAACATAATGTAATTTGATTTTGGGTGATGCACAAATTCGAACCAAAGAAGTGTACCTGATCTCCATGTGATTTGGATTTGTTATTTGAGTGAAAGAGGTGGTTTGCAAAATAAAGAAAACGACATATAGGTGTAATGCTTGCTGCACATATTCTGATGCTTCTCCCAATGTTTCTTGGGTTATGGACAAGCGGAGTGTCATGGTCATGTTTGTCTAAGACGTATTGTCTATGGCCACATGTTGGACGTTTTGGTTATGCTTGTTCAAAACGTGTTATCTATGTCTACATGTTCGTTCCAAACTCATTTTACATGCTTGGGTGTATGAATATTCACCAAAATCATGTTTACATCCATCATGACTAAAATGTCCCAAAATATACTATATAGAGATATGACTAGTTATCACTTCTTTTTACCCAAGTTATATGTCATCAAAGCTGTTATTGCCTAATCGTTTTTAGCTTATAACATTACTTTGTTTTAAATTATTTTCAACGTATTTCCTTTGTCACATCTTTTAAAATATTTCTCTCAAACGTGGCTCGAGACTCATATGCTGGCGCTGTCCGCAAAGTTCGAATTGCTCAGAGCTAACTTATTCGCTGGGTAAGAACAAGTGTCACACAATTGCAATCTGGCTATCGTAGTGATACGAAGTACACGCCCATATAAGCTCTCTCAAAATTAAGGTGGTCTTTCGGTATTTTGACCTAATAGCATCTTGACTTGGGTCAAATACTTGAGCTCATAAACGAGTTTTTGTTTGACTCTTAATTATCCTATAACGCTTTGGGTTTGATCCTATTATCCAAAATCAACTATATAAAATTTAAATCGAAAAATAGTGTATTAAATTGTTTAAAATAAAAATGTACATGTGTATAAACTAGAAGAAAAAAAATGAAATAACATATAGTAAGAAAATAATTGAATCATTTGCAACCACAAATTTATGGTGAAGAAAGAAAGTGAAAAAACTGAGTGATCACATGCAAGTTGACATGATGGGACATGAATTTAATTACAGCTCAGAAGAAAGAGTGTACAAAATAATGTTCTTTCGGAATTATGTCCAAAATTGGTGTGCAACATTGTTTAAATAATTAAAACGTGGAGAAAATGTGAGTTCAATAATAGTGAGAAAATGTGCAACATTGTTTAAATAATTAAAATGTGAGTTCATAATTGGTGTGCATCAGTGACGTCACCCATGCATATATAATTCATTATGCGGAAGCTCATCATAAATAACTTTGAAAACAAAACAAACCCATGCATATATAATTCATTATGCGGAAGCTTATCATAAATAACCTTGTAAACAAAACAAAGTCTTTCATAAATATTCATAAATCCAAAACAACCTATCTCCAAAAAAAAAAAATAAATAAACTTTCAATATCTGAACTAAAAAAATGAATTTAAATAAAACAATACTCAATGGTATAACTTAAAATAGTCCAATAAAGATAAACTCCTAAAAATATTCCATCTCCAACTTCCATGGTGTTCTCAGCTTCGCCGTCAACCGTACATTGGCGCTTTGCCTTTACCTGAAAAATGTAGGTAGCACGTGGCTTGAGTATTTTATGAAATACTCAAGTAAGTCACCTCACTGTTGGGCTTAGGAATGCAAACACATGCAACATATGAGCGGGACCTAACTTTTCATAAACTTTTCATAGCCATGGGCACTTTTCTATTCCGGGTAGGGTTGGGTATGTGGTACTCCTTCACACACGGCCCATGTACACGTACATGGACCCACCAGGCAGGCTCGTATACAAACCCCCTAGGCCTGACTTGGTCGGGCACGCGTGTTACACGTTGCCGGACACCACAGAACAGAAAAGGGCCCGCATGATATCATGGCGAACATAAATATCATAATTCATTCTTTCGTATCATAAAGGGGAAGAATCCCGATGCACGTGACATACATATATGCATGAGGTCCCTTTACATATCTAACATGACATTAGATAAGCAGTGTTAACATCGCATATACATTTCTTACATTACATGACATATTATTTAATTTTAATATGAAAGTACATTCCAGTTGCACAAACATCTCATAACATGACTCGATACTTCTACGTGTATCTATGGCATCGATCAACATATTTATGACATATAATACTAACATCTCATTCATAACTTTACATAACTTTACATAAATACGTCCTATGATAACCACATAAAAACTTAGGAACCTTTCATAACATACCCTAGCTAAACCTTATGCTATTTATCAAAATAAACCCCCGACCTAATCTGTCTTTAACGTTTAGGAACCATACTAACCTCGGATAGTAAAACTAAGGGCAGAAACGGCTTCGAAAGGGCTAAAAACCTTGGAATCAATATATTATAGTGATACCTTGCCGCTGAGCCTAGTTGCCGAGCCAGCCAACTAAGCCGCCAAGTCGAGTTGCGGGAATTGATGGAACCGAGCCGATTTCGTACACGTGCGAGCCGACCCACACTGTGTACGCGTACGAAGTTGTCGGAGCTGCTGGGTGTGCGTCTGCAACTCGACCCTATTCCAAAAACCTTGCCTTCCTTACCCGATTCTTCCTCCGAAGAGCAACCCCAAGGTTCTCGAGGAAAGTTTGGAGAGAAAATAGTTTTCAAGGGATGTAAATGGTTGGGCATAGGAATATAAAACTAATCTCGAGATATTTCTCAATAACGCATCCTAAGGTTTTAGGATAAGGAAATTTGGACAAATAAAAATATTTCTATGAGGCAAAATAAGAATCTCTCATGAAATCCCTCCATCTATGGGGAGATCACATTTAATTATTTATTCTATTTTTATTTGATTTTATTTTTATTCCAGAAACCTAATTTTTACCATTTCCAATAACTTCTTGGTTTAAAATTTTACTTTTTCGGGCGAGAATAAATGCATAACATAATACGTCCAAATAAAAATAAAATCTTAACAGCAAAAATGAAAAATCTGTTACAATTTTAGAGATAAAAATGTTTAGATATTTTAAAAATAAAAATGTTTTGATGTTCCGGTAACTCAAAATTTTAGGTGCATTTAGCCAATTAATTACTATTTTCATTAGTCCATCTTAGTCCTTATGCGATTTATGTAAGAAGAGCAGAAGTGCCCAAATCAATCTCCAGTTCTATGGTCATCTAACATATATGGATTAGATCTCTCTCAATCAATGTGACTCCATATTAATGTCTACTACTAAAGGCTAGTTGCGGGATTACAATTTTATGTTGTTTTATTATTTCTTAATTATTTTATTATTGAGTTACTCCCCATTTATGATGATGAATATGGACACGCACATTATTATAATGATGATGATCATCATGCCTTACATGATATTTGAGGATTTGTTGACTGTCGAACGTCTGGTTACGGACAACTAGCCTGACTATAATGGGTCTAGGGGGTGCGAACCGCCTGAAAACTCAAGCTCGCACATGTTGGTTGTGTGTAAGAAAGTACTACACATCTAATTTATCTACATTAGATGCCACATCTATAATGGTTTTAAGGTTCTTAAGTTGCATGTGTTTGCATTCCATGACCCCAATAGTTGAGTTCGTTATTAACTATTTCTTAAAATACTAAGTCATATGGTACTTTTATTTCAAGCAGAGGCAAGACACCCGTGTACACGACTGCATCATAAGTCAAGACCATAACACATGCATATGACAATGGTATTTTTTTTTCTTAGACTTTATGTTAATATAGTGTTTTTACCTTTCGTATTTTATTTGATTTATTTAATATTTCGATTGGTTCTTTACCAAACTTTTTGAAACATTTAAATCCAT